AGCTGATGTTTCGGGCCTAGACCCTTCTGAAGAAACATCAGCTTTCCTGCTCCTCTGATGCTGCTTGGCCTGCTGTGTTCTTCCAGCTCTACACCTTGTTACCTCTAACAGTTGTTACCATTTAAATAATAATATTGACTGTTGGTGTACACTTTATGTCGGAGTTTTCCATATAAAGTATAAAATAAAAAGCCAAGGAGCAAAAAGACCCCCAACCAAAGGCATAATTGTCATCCACTGTGAGGTGACTGTGATGCTTTGTCCTTTCTCATCCTCTGATATGGATGACCATAAATTCCCACTTTAACACCTTTCTTCCATTATGTACCATTGTGTTAAGGCTTTAGGACCCTGGAAAGAACTTGCAGTGATGTTACAGAGATGCTTCCTGCTGGGCAAAACAGCACAGTGTGGGTGGACGCATGTGTGTGAGATATGTAGAGAGAATCACATATATAAAGACTTTTAGACACTAGCATAAAACTACATGCTGTACCTCACTCATTTTGTCGATCTGATCTTGGCCAAAAATGGCTTTTATGCTGCCCTATCACAGCCAATCCTGGTATCCCCAGGATGTAGTTCTCTTTATCTACATGCTGCTCACTCCTTGGCAAAATCATATGTAGATACAATGTCAGTTTGCACAAGAATGCTGACAATCTTCAAATCACCTTTTCGCCATGGCCTTTATCTCTGTATAGCCTTGTGTCACCAGACCGCTTGGGTGATATCCAGTGTGGATGAGCTGACGTTCCTTTTGTTAATTTTGCAGTGATCCAAGAACAATCAGAGACAGAGGCAAAAACTTACTTCATATTCATGCCAATGTTTCTGTCCCCTCTCCGCAGTTGTGTCAGGCTAAGTATAAACATTGGCAGTCTCAACTTCCTATTCGTGCTGTAGCTGAAATTCTGAACCCAAATTCCCTTAGAAGAAAACTGTCCGTATAAGCAAGACTGTCTCCTTACATCACAATAATAGTGTCCATATTCATTGCTGTTTCACCCCAATTCTGCCGAAACTATTTGTATCATCTCCAAATCTGACTATGCTTAAAGTTCTCCTTGTGGATTTTTATCCTTCACCCATCATTAATTTCAGGCTATACAAATTTAGGCTTTCCAAATTTCTGCTAAATTGTTTTTGAATTCTTCAATGATTGATGGGGAGAATTGCATTTTTTTCTGTTTTAAGGCATTAACTGAACCAAATGAGTTAAAATCAGTATAAACTAAACACTACTTAATAGTCAATTACTATATCATTTTACAGAAGAAGTACTGAATATTTTGCAAGATCCTCCAACTTTAGTTTAGATTTTCATCCTGTGTGAAACATTACTTTATAAAATAAACAATATTGTGATTTCAATGTTGATTCACTGTTCTCTTATTACATCACTTAATAAACTAATTTTTGAATGTTTTTCCTTTTCAGCCCCTTTTGGACATATTTCTGTATATATTTAAACTAACAAGTGCAATAGGTGCTCAGGTGAGTTATGAATAAATTAGTGGGTTACTGATCATTAATAAGGGCTGAAAGAGCTTCTGTTAACTTTGTAAACAAATAAGAATTTTTTGCCTAAATTATTTCTTGTGGAAAAATTGTGAATACACTCAACCTTAAAGGTTTCTTTGATACAATAATATTCTTTGAATCTGTAAAATGGTAAAATACTCCAGATTTCAATGTACAAGTGCTAATTTGGCTAGTTGAACATTGTTTTAATTATAAACCTTTGCTCCTTTTAGTATATGTGCAATTTGAGAATGTTATATTGCTATCATTGCAAATATATATTTTTGATCAATTACTGTCTCTACCTTAGGGCCCTGCAAGCATGATGGCTTACCTGATTGTTTCAGGTCTACTTCTGACTCGGCTTAGAAGACCAATTGGTAAAATGACAGTGTCAGAACAAAGATACGAAGGCGAATACAGATATGTCAACTCACGGCTTATTACAAATAGGTGAGGAGATGCTTGGTTAAATCAGCGGATTTTTAATTTGTTTTACATGGAAGGATATGTGATATCTTACAATGATAATGCCTCAATCTGCCTTCCAAAACCATTGTTGGCTAATTCTGTCTCTGCTATATTCCAGTAATTTTCCCCTTATTCCAGCACTAAAAACGATTTGTGTGAGTGGCCCTGCTGGCTTATTGTTTTATCATTTAATATCTTACTATGCCTTTCTGATGACAAAGCAGAAATCAAGAAGTCAGGCTCCTGTATTCTGCATAGGAATTTTTTCCTCTGAGGATAGTGAATCTGAGAAATTATTTACTGCAGGGTTGCTTAGGATATTCAAGGCTGAAATAGGCAGATTTTTGCCAGTAAGGGAATTGACGTTTATGGGCAAAAGGCAGAAAAGTGGAGTTGAGAATTATCAGATCAGCCATCATCTCTTTGGCGGAGCAAATTCACCAGGCTGAATTTCCTACTTCTGCTCCTATGCTTTATGATTACACTTACACTGTCTTTGACTTTCTGGGACAGACTATTAACATACTAATATACTGTTTTAATGAAGTGTGTAAATGTTTTGGGCTAAATACCAAGGGCCCAATATTTGTTTGTAAAGTGGAAACAGAAATCGGTCAAAGATCTCTGAGACCAGCACAGCAGATGTCCTGCTGAACTCACTAACAAGATCTTATTATTCTTTTTTTTCCCTGTCTGGCAGCTGGGCGAATTGTCAGTGTGGCCAGTGGCATGGGAAATTGGAATCACCGCAGGGAGGAGAGCATGTGATAAGATGCTGAAGGTTTACTTGAGGGAGTAAGGGAGCACATCTGCAATTCCCATGCCACAAGCAGAGATGGGAAAGACACTTGCCTACTAGTGCTGACAAATGCTGTCTCCTTTTAGTTGCTGGATTTTGTGACCTCTGAAAAACGTAAAATTTAAATTAGGCCACCGATTACACTGTTGGGATTTGATTTAAATATGTTAAAGAATTGATCCACTTCTCCACAGTGCAACATTCAAACAAAACCTGCAGTTGTAAGAACAACAAGTGTATCTGGGGTGAGTTGGGTTTGTGCACTGTCATTTTTACTCCCCTCCCGTCTGTTACGGAAGCTAGCAGTAGCATATTTGAAGTGTAAGTTTACAGGTAAAGAACTGGACTAAACAATTAGTACTTTGTGTTCTTACAGTGAAGAAATTGCTTTTTATCATGGGAACAGTCGAGAGAAACAGACTATACATACCACGTTTAAAAGGCTGGTAAGCAATCACCTCAGTCTTTTCAAAATTGCAATTCTGTTGGTCATGTAATTACTTTTAGACTTGTATATGGTGGTGAATCATTTAAGGACATTTATGACAGCATGAAGTTAAGTTCAGGGATAAGCCAGTAAAAATGCAGTGGCAGACATTTAAGGGGGAACTTCAGAATGCACAGGAAAAATACATTTCAACAAGGAAGAAAAATTCCAAACAGCAGATCCACCATTGTGGCTAACAAAAAAAAGTTGAAGATAGTTCTTATCCTTAATGTATTTTTGATTGTTTAGATAAAAAAATGTAGGTTTTGAGAAACTATTTCTAAGTTTTACTCTTAGACAATTAATTTTAAAAATATCTGAAATATGAATTGGGTCATCATTAATCTATGTGCTCTTGTGCTTGTTAATTATGGCAGTACTTTTAAGAGGTATCCATAAGATGGTGAAGCTATTCATCCATAGTTGGGAGTTTGGCTCGTGTGTGCCAGTCATAACTACATTCAAGTCGGCCTGCGTCTAATGTGTCCAGCTGCTAAAGTTCCTCTGGGGTCTTCTGAAGCTCCAGACTTGGGTCCCGAGGAACCCAGTTTACGTTTCTTATGGCGAAGAGGCACGGTTGTGGACTGATGGAGAATTTGTGTAATGATGGGGAGACTGTTATGCATTTGGCACTCTTAGCAGAAATACTAAAAACACCAGTGATGTAGGCTAAACGTGAGAAGGAAATTGGCACACAAAAGCAGAAAGCACGCAAACTATATTCACCCATGCACTAGATGTATTGCATCATCAGGCAAGCAACCTAAGCAAGAATCATATCCTTAGACCAGTGGCCAACCTTTTAGCATGAAGGTGGGAGCACATTTCAGTTTTTCTCTTCCTTGGGGGTGCTGCTGAGCAAATACCAGAAATATGGGGTGCCACAACAGTAAACATGAACTTCATCAAAAGCAATCAATTGATAATTTACATGAGTAATTGATAGGAAGGACCATTAGTAGCTTAGTAATAAAGTAAGTTTTTGCCCTTTTGGTTAAGAAGCAGAGTTAGAAAGAGAAAGAGTATCAACCCAATTGATGATCACTGGGGAAGGGGCAGAGACTGGATTGAGCTATGGAATTAGGTTTAACTCGGGTTAATGTTCAGCTGCTTCTGGAGGGGCACACTCCAAACTGGCCTCAGCAAAATCACAAACAAGTGGTGGTTCAGAAGTGAGTTGATTTTCAAACTTGCTTGCTTTGCCTCTCCCCTCCGTCTCCAATTTCCTCCCAAGTTTTTCATCCCTTTCCTTCATTCCTTTCTCTCTCCCTCCCCCATATACGTGCCCCTCTCTCTTACCCCTCCTAATCTGTCTGTCTTGCTCTACCCATTTAGTTTAAAGAAATAATCCGTGGGGCTTTGTGCTCCTAAATATGCCATCTGTGCGCGCACAACAAAAACAAGGTTGCTGGAAAAGCTCAACAGGTCTGGCAGCATCTGTGAATCTAAAAACAGAGTTAACGTTTCTGGTCTGGTGACCCTTCCTCAGAACTGAGTCTACTCCTCTGATGCTGCCTGACCTGCTGTGTTCCTCCAGCTCCACACCGCGTTGTCTCTGATTGCGGCATCTGCAGTTCTTGCTATCACAAAGGTGACCCTATTATTGTTGTGGGAGGGAAGGAAGGGGGTGAGGGCAGAAGTGCAGAAACTGGGCCAAACACAGCTCCTGGCCCTGACAACCAAGGTAGTGGGGAATCCTCGATTAAGGTAAATATATCTGAGGCTCCCTTGCAGAAGGCAGCACCGACAGAACAGATGCGATGGAGAAACTAGGAGAATCGAATGTAGTCCTTACAGAAAGCAGGGTGTAAAGATGTATGGTCAAGGTAACTTTGGGAGTCAGTGGGTTTGAAATGGATATTGGGAGACATCCTGTCTCCAGATCTGGCAGCATCTGTGAAGGCAAAAACAGAGTTAATGTTTCGGGTCCGGTGACCCTTCCTCAGAACAGCATCCACAGATCTTTCGGCTTTTATCCTGTCTCCGGAAATGAAACCCGATGTTGAGGAAGGGAAGGGAGGAGTTGGAGGTGGGCAAAGTGAAGATAAGGGAAAGATGGAAATTAGAAGCAAAATTGATAAATAAAATTTTATTATACAGAGGAGAAAACAACAAAGTCCAGGTAGGAAGAAATAAGTTCTGTAATGCAGGAGCAGGCAGAAACAATGGGTCTGCCCAGGCAGACCCCTTTTTGGATTTTGGGAAGAAGATAGAAGCGGGCTATGTGGGTTTGGAGTCTGTGAGCTAGGAGGCTTTGATGGCAAAGATCCCCAGGTTAGAGACAATGGACACAATAGCTAGGTGTTTGGGATAGATAAGGGGAAGTGTTCAAGAGCTGGCATTCAGGTGCTGCAAGGTAGAGGTCAGCATGCCAGACAACAACAGCACCACCCTTGTCAACAGATTTGATTACTAAGTCAAGGTCAGATCTGAGAGCATGGAGTGTGATTAGTTCAGAGGGAGGTAGATTAGAATGGGTAGAGGGAACAGAGAAATTTAGGTGACCAATGATCACATTGACAATTCTCAATGAACAGTTTGAGAGCAGGCAAGAGGCCAGAGGCTGGAATCCCAGATAGAGGGTGAATAGTGGAGGTATGTAAAGGGGTCTGTGGGCACAAAGACAAAGGTAATGGAAGAGGAGTTTGATGTCATAGAACATAGAACAGTATAGCACAAGAACAGGCCCTTTGGCCCGCCATGTCCATTCCAACCATGATCCAATAGTGCTCGAAATTTGTTGAGGCAGGGGCATAAAGGATAAAACAATCACTTGCTGAGTACAGAACATTGAGTATTAGAGAGTGGAGGATCAGAAAGTTCAGTAAATACTCGACAAGAAGTGGGGTTAGGAGAAGGGATGGACTCAGAGGGAAGGTGAGGCGAGGAAGGGATTGCAATTCTTCGCTTTTGTTGATCTGGTCTTGAATCTCACTCTCGTGCTGTTCTGTTATAGACTGCCTTAGCGACTGCTCCTGTTCTGATCAGTCATGAGCCTGGGTTCGTGTTCCCCTTGACTCTGAAATTGTGCTCCAGCACTTATTCATTGACACAACTCCAGTTTTTTGCCAACACCTGGTTCACCAAACTTGATAAATTCTTGGGTCTTCCTGTAATCTTGCTTAATTGTATGAAGCAAATATTGCTTATGAGTTTTATGACCCCACTCGATCCACTGCATTGAAATACTAATGTTTGCAGTCTTCTTCCGAGCCCCCCTCAGCTTTCTCTAGTACAGATCCAGTAACCTTCCCACTTTCTTACCTTCTTGGGATTATTACTGAATCCTGATTACATGGAACTAATCAAGTTGCTCTTGACATTTTTCCCTACAGCTCAGCTAAAAATAAATATGCCAAATGTGTTTCACTCCCTTTCAGTCTAACTAAACTGTCCACAGACCTGCTCTTCAATGATCTGTTAAGTTACCTGTCAAAAAACTTGTCTATTGCAGGGCACAACTGCATGTTGCCACATAACTAATCTTGCAGCTCAGTGTTCTGTAAAGGTTACATTATCACAGAATGTAGAAGTGGATCTCATCACAGGACTCAGTCAGAGAGGACAAGATAGGGACTCTGATGTTGTCCTGCAACTTGGCCTAGAGTTGCACCCTGGAGAGGTCTCGTAGATCATAGAATCATTGAATCCCTACAATATGGAAGCAGGCCCTTTAGCACCACAGAGCATCTCACCCAGACCCATTACCCTCTCACCCACCTAATCTGCACATCCCTGAACACTGGGCAATTTAGCATGGCCAATCCACCTAGCTTGCACATCTTTGGACTGTGGGAGGAAACCGGAGCACCCAGAGGAAACCCACGCACACACGGGGAGAATGTGCAAACTCCACACATAGAGTGCCCAAGGGCGGAATCAAATCCGGGTCCCTGGTGGTGTGGGGCAGCAGTGCTAACCGCTGAGCCACCTTGCTGCCCTGTCTCTTCAGTTTCAATGCGAAGTGTTAATAGAACAAAGGATAGAGACCTACTGAGTGATAAACCTAACATGACTGGTTATGGGCTGTCTCCGTCTGTGGGAGGGACCACCATGATCATCCACCATCCCTATCAAGTCTGGCTGATTTGTACAGTGCTGACCTGACATTGGGTTGAGCTGCTTCTTGGTGCTTGGAGCTGAGAGTATCTGTTCAACAAATAGACAGGATCCAGCTCAGTAGCCAAAAAAACAAAAAGAGAGAATGTGCCAAAGTGAGGCAAACGAAGGTCAGGGCCAACTGCACAGGATTGACAGTTGCCTTGGGTTTGATTGGCTGCTGTATAAGACAGTAGAGATCACTGTTGAATTTGATTGCCTGGTATAAAATAATTTTGTGTTCATAAAATATCTAGTGAGTAGCCATTTATTCCTCAAATTCATTATAATGTAACTCCATTATAACATGCATATTAGGGTCCAAAAAGTGAAATTGCATCATAGCTGGACCTTGTTGATTTACTTCTTTGGGAGTCATGAGACCCCTGCTCTATTAGCAAATTTGCAATTTATTGAACCATGCAATAATAGACGTCTGTTCTCCTAAAAGGTATACATTATATTCTTGTTGTCAGTTACACTGTTATATGTATTCCTCACCATATTCACTTACCGCAATAGTTATAGTTAAATTTATACAGCTCACATGAAACTGTTAACTTCTAAGTCATCCAGCTTCATATGCAAGTTTAATTATCTGCACTCTTACAATTGTCCTGACCATCGTCAGGACTTCGTTGCATTGTTCTATTATTAAGATAAATCTTCTACATCTTTTTTCTCAATAGGTTGATCATCTGCACAATTTCATTGTTTTCCGCTTCACTATGGGATTTGTAGACAGTATAATTGCCAAATGTAAGTAATATGCACAGTTAAAGTTATGTTTTCATTCGCTATAAATACTATCGTAATGGATGCAGAAAAATGTACAGAAAAGCTGAACACTGCTTCAAAGGATAAAACACCTTGTCCTTAATTAATCTGTAGTTATTGGAGCAATGCGCTATGTAGCACAAAGCCAATGATGAGAAAAGTCAAAGTTGATCCTCTGGTATTGTTCAACCACTCCTACCACTCCTATTTGCAGTGATAGTATCCTACCTTTGAGCCAGGTAGCCCAGGTTCAAGACTGACCTATTCCAGGTGTGTAATAACAACACTGAACAAGTTGATTAGAAAATAACTTTTCTTTAAATTGCGTGTCAAACTCCCTACTTTCCCATTAATGTATTTGGTAGTTCATTCCTAATGTTAATTGTCCTAATGAGTAAAAATTTCTGAGGTTTCTTTTAAATTACTTCTCATTTAAACTTAAATCCTCTTACTCAACTGGTCCTGTTTTAATTGGAATTGCCTCTGAACACATTCAGAAAGTCTTGCCAAGTGATTAACACAATATTGTCATGTCAACTGGAATTCATATTAATCTGTTTTAACTTGTACTGTACAGATAGTGTGAATGGATATAGTTTTAAATTCTGTTTAGAGAACTAATTAGTTTGAATGCAGAATGCACTCAGTTTGTTTTATAAAATCAAAAGATGTCAGAGCAGAAATAAATCATTCAGCGTATTCAGTTAGATCATGACTAATTTGATAATCCTCAACTCCACTTTCCTGCCTTTTCCCCCATATCCCTTGATTCCCTTACTGATTTAAAAATCTGTCTATATCAGCCGTGAATATAATTAATGACCTAGCCTCTACAGCTCCCTATGGTAAAGAATTCCACAGATTGTCTACCCTCTGAGAGAAGAAATTCTTTCTCATCTCGTTTGTGACTCTTAGTCTGATATTCAGTCCTCTAGTCCTAGACTGTCCCACAAGGGGAAATAACCTTTCCACATCTACCTTATCATGTCCCATATGTATATCGTATGTTTCAATAAGGTCACTGCTCATTCTTTAAATGCCAGTAATTACAGGTCCAACATACTCATCCTGTCCTCATAAAACCTTTCCATATCTGAGATCAATCTGATGAACCTTTTCTGGACTGCTTCCAGCGCCAATATAGCTATCCTTAAAAAAGGATCAAAACTGATTGTAGTATCCTTGGTGTCGTCTGACTACAGTTTTAGCAAGACTTCCCTATTTTTTCAATTCCTTTGAAATAAATACCAGTGTTCCATTTGCCTTCCTTATTACCTGTAGCGTTTTGAGGCTTATACACAAGAAGTCCCAAATCCCACTGTGCTGCAGCTTTCTGCAACGTTTTTTTTCATTTCAATAATATTTAGTTCCTCTATTCTTCCTGCCAAAGGGCATAACTTCATATTTTTCAACGTTCTATTCTATCTGCCAAGTTTTTGCCCACTCACTTATCCCTCTGCAGACTCCTTGTGCCCCCTTATCATGTGTCTTCCCACCTCCTTCTGTAGTTGTTTACACCTTAGTCAGTGAAACTAATCTACAGTTAGACAATCACTAAATGACAAGTCAATGTACACATTGTTAAATGAACATTGTACTGTCTGCTGTCCTTAATGAACAGAAACTGTTGAGGTATTTGGTGGGGCTATTCCAGAAGTTGTACCCTGGTTTACGTCTGAAGCTGAGTTCATTTTGCAGATGCTAAATTATACTTTGATTCTTCCCAAGCTCATCAGAATCTGATTGCAAACTTGAATTGCTAGCACTGACCTCTCTTCCCATTTCTGCATATCATCCCAAGGTGGCCCCAAGGATTTGTCTTTGGCTGCCTCCTTTCTCTCATCTATATGCTGCTATTTGACGATATCATTCCAAAATGTCAGTTTCAGCATGCACACTAACAACACGTAATTTTACTGCATTAGCCCCTCTAAGCCCTTGCATTGTGTCTAAATTGTCAGACTGCTTATCTGACATCCAATACTACACGATACACAAGTTCCTCTAACCATTGGAAAGATTGAAGCCATTGTCTTCAACACCTGCCAAAAGCTGCACCCTGTCACCACAAACTTCCGTCTCTGTCCGCGGCAACTGTCTGATGTTGGACCAGATGTTTGCAGCCTTGGAATATTACTTGACCCTGAGATGATCTTTCAACCCATATCTACATTGCTACGACCTGTTGAGAAGGGTGAATCAACCACCTCTTTTTAACCCCCTCAGTTGGCTGCAACAGAAATTTTTTGTTCTTTTTAGCCTGCAGCAATGTCACACTTCAATTAAAACATAGTACTAATCAAAATTAAGCGACAATTATAGCATATTCTTAAGTGAAAGCATAGGAATTTTATTACTTAAAAATAATGAAGAATGTTATTTTATTTATTCACGGAACTTGGGTGTTACTGGCTAGACTAGCATTTATTGCCCATCACTAGTTGACTAGGGAGTAGTTAAGACTCAATCACAATGCTGTGCATTCACAGCATTGTCTGGAATCACATGTAAGCCAGACCAGGTAGGGATGGCAATATCCTTTCCTCAAGGACATTAGTAGACAATTGACATCATTTTCATGGTCATCATTAGACTCTTAGTTCCAAATTTCTTTTTTAATTGAATCCAAATTCTACCATCTGCCATGGCAGGATTCAAATCCATGTCCCAGAACGTTATCGGAGCCTCTGGATGAATAATCAAGCAATAACACCACTAGGCCTATGCCTCCCTAAACGTGCACAAACACAGGTATAAAGTTAAAAAGGGCCTCATAGAATAAGATAAATAATACTTAGTTTAAATTTAAACAGTTCTGTAGGTTGCTTTGGTTGAACGTATGACCATTTAGTTGATGCTTTGTAACCTGAATAGTAGCAGATTTTTAAAATCTTTGAGTTCTCAGTAAATATATGTTTCTCCAATTTGTTTTTATCATTGGTGCTGACTTTCCAGATGATGGAAAAGAAACATGGAGAGGGAGAGCCTTCTAGTCCTTGCTATTACCAATGAATTTTCTTTCTCTCTGTCTGCTGCTTTCACAAGCAACTATTGAAATAGATTCATTTTTGTATCCTCAAGTTTGGCTCCAATGTCTTTCTAAACTGAATATTTCAGGCAACCCTTGCACGTCCAATATTCTCATACAAATAAAAATTAAAACAGAAGATGTGAATTTCTTGACAGGTGACTCAGTAGAATGATCTATATTTCTATAGGTAAAATGGTAATTTAAGTTCAGACAATCTTGTTTGTTCCACATTAGTTTCCTGAATGTACCTAAATTTGAAACCAGGCAATTACTATAGTCATTTCAGTTTTGTTTCATCCTTTTAAAATCATTCTAGTCCATGAAGATTTCAGATTTTAAAATCGGATGATGGATGTTGGAGACTGGTCCATATTTTGCCACTATTGTGACAGAATCATCACTAAAACTTCCTATTTCCTCAGCTCTTCTGCTGGTGAAATCTAGAGTGATGCTTTTGTTATCTCCAGACTTGTGTATTCTAACATGCTGCAGTCCAGCCTTACAAATTCTACATTCCAAAAACTTGATTTGTTAAAAAAGTCTTTTGGTGATATTGTAACTTGCACCAAATCCAATTCACCCATCACCCATCGCCCTGCGCTGTCTGGCCTATCCTGACTCCAGTTAAATATGGTTAGTAAATACACAGATGACTCTAAAACTGGTGGTGTAGTTGACAGTGAAGAAGGTTACCGCAGAGTACAACAGGACCTTGATCAGATGGGTCAAGGAGTGGCAGATGGAGTTTAATTTAGATGGCTGTGAGATGCTACATTTTGGTAGGGCAAATCAGGGTAGGACTTATACACTTAATGGTAAGGTCCTTGCGAGTGTTGCTGAACAAAGAGACCTTGGAGTGCAGGTTCATAGGTCCTTGAAAGTAGAGTCACAGGTACATAGAACAAAGGTAGAACGTAGTACAGTACAGAGCAGGAACGCACCGTTCGGTCCACGATGTTGTGCCAAACATGACGCCAAATTAAACTAATCCCTTCTGCCTGCCCTTGATGCATATCTCCCCATTCCTTGCATATTCATGTGCCTATATAAAAGTTCCTTAAACGCCCCCTATTGTATCTGCCTCCACCATCATTCCTGGCAGCGTGTTCTAGACTCGCACCACTCTGTGTAAAATAAAACTTGGCCTCCACATCTCCTTTGAACTTTTCCCCCTCTCACCTTAAATGCATGCCCCCTAGTTTTGGACATTTCAACTCTGGGAAAAAGATTGATTGTCAATCCTACCTATGCAGCTTATAATCTTGTAGACTTCTGTCAAGTCTCCCTTCTGTCTCCTCCACTGCAGAGAAAACAACACGAGTTTTTCTAGCTTCTCCTTATAGCTCATACCCTCTAATTCAGGGTATGCCGATTCTGAATCCATGCGGCCAAGTCACCATGGATCCCATGCATCTTAATCTTCTGGATAAGCCTACCATGAGGCACCTTGTCGAAAGCCTTACTAAAATCCATGCAGACAACATCTACTGCTCTTCCCTCATCGATCAACTTTGTACCCTCGTTGAAAAATTTAATCAAGTTAGTAAGACATGACCTGCATTGCACAAAACCATGCTGACTGTCCCTAATTAGGCCATGCTTTTCCAAATGGGCTTGAATCCTATCCCTAAGAATTGCCTCCAATAGCTTCTCAACGACTGATGTGAGACTCACCGGTCTGTAATTTCCTGGATTATCCCTATTTCCCTTCTTGACTAGAGCAACATTAGCTACTTGCCAGTCCTGCAGGACCTCTCCAGTGGCTAAAGAGGATTCAAAGATCTTGGTCAAGGCCCCAGCAATCTTCTTTCTTGCCTCTCTCAATAACCTGGGGTAGACACCATCAGGTTCTGGGGACTCATCCACCTTAATGCTCTTCAAGAGACCCAACATCACTTCTTTCTTGATCTCAAAATGCCATAGCATATTAGCATCCTCCACACAAACAGCA